TAACTGGCAGGGTAGCAGCAGGAAGTAATACAGAAAATGGGGGGAGCAAACTAACGAACTTAAGAACACACCACAGCATTTAACCATGAAATGCTGGAGTAAGAACTGCAAAGCCACAGCTCCTCTTTGCAGGCAGGGATTTTCTAGAGCTGTTTTTTCATTCGTTTTCTCAAGTTTAGGGCTGCAGGTTCTCTCTATGGCTGATTTAAGAGGGCTTTTATGTTTTATGCTGTACTGAGTATAACAAAGGAGGAAGTTTGATGTTTAACCCCTTGTGGGATGTGAATGTGTGGCAGCAGCTCACAGGGACAGTCCTGCCACCCTGCTTCAGTTTATAAATATTCATTGTGCTGATTCCTTCACGTTGCCATTCTTGTTTGGGAGGAGCTGATTGTTCCTTCCTCACGAGTTTGATTTCATGGTGCTTTCCCAGACCTGATCATTGATGAGATGTTGATGTATTAATGCACCACCCTGTGACAGTTTCACAACTCCTCCTATCTCCATCTCTACTTCCTGTGCTCTTGTCTGAAACCTGAAATCCAAGATTTTTCTGGGATTTATTCCCTGTTTGGTTTGCTCTGTACCAAGCATCATGAGAGATCCTGGCCTTAAAATCAGGTTTTTATCTGATGTTGGTAATAGAAGTGATCATTTTGGTCAGTGGTCACTGCTACTCACTCACCAGCTACCTGTCCTAAGTTAGATTATGGATTATTATAGATTAAATATCCTAAGTTAGATTAAATGTCCTAAGTTAGATTATAGATTATTATAGATTAAATTTGTAGCCCTGACATTTTTTTACCTGAATATAAATGTCAGAATTAGAATGTTGGTGTCTGTGCTATGGATTGGATGTGTGACAGATTGCACACAAATAAGAAGAAAAGTAGGTCGATTTGTCAGGAACAAAAGTAAATATATTGTGCTAACTGCTGTATTGCAGCACTGAGGGAATTTATCAATCCTCAATCCAATCTACCAATTTAGAGAAAACCTAAAAGGCTGAATTATTTGTGGCTTTTTATTTTAAAACGCAGAGCAGTAACTGCGTTGCTTTCAGGGCATACTACTTGGTATTTTGATGTTCCTTTCCAATGGCATTTACAGCAGTTGGATTTGAGTTTCCTGAGGGATGCTGTAACTCTTGCACTCTGTAACTTTGTCCTTTCCCCACGTTTTGGCAGCTGGAGAAGAAGCAGACGACGCCCCCGTTCCAGCCGCAGATCACGGACGATTACGGCTTGGACAACTTCGACACGCAGTTCACCAGCGAGCCCGTGCAGCTCACCCCAGATGATGAGTATGTGAGGCAGCTGCACGGCTGCCATCACTCACAGATTAGCTGGAAATCACTTAGACACTATTTGTGTTGGTGTGGTTGGGTTTTTCTTTTCACAAAGATGGGATGGTGTTGGAGATTTTTTCAGAGATGGCTTAGAAAGCAGCTGTAAGGAGCAGATTCTCACAGCCTGCTTCTGTGAACAGCAGAGGTTCTCAGGTTATTTTTAACTGCAGGTAGGGGTGACAGACATGAGGGCCTTGGGGGCCTTGCACACCAGAGTTCTCAGGCAGCTTTCTCATAACAAGTGGATGTTCTATCTTTGGCTGTTTTGGGAAAGCAAAAATAATTTTGAGAACCCAAATCTTAGTATTGGAAACATAAGGAGGAGTTGGTATGTAATCTCTGACCTATTGTGAGCTCAGATTTTGCAATATGCATGAAGTGAATTAACATTGTTATAAAAAGTGCTTGATTGATCAATAAGTGGGAGTCGATGCTGACCAATGCAAGGTGGGTCGTCTCCCCTCCAACTTCAATAGGATGGGACTGCTGGGGTGCCTTCCTTGAGCTCTTATTGCAGCATCGGCCTCATTGTGTGGTGGATGGCAAAAGCTCAGGTACAGCCGCAGCCAAAGGTTTCTTTCACAGAACGACCAGGCTGGAAGAGACCTTAAAGATTATTGAGTCCAACCCAGCCCCAGCCCCTCAACTCAGCCCTGGCCCCCAGTGCCACATCCAGGCTTTGTCACACACACCCAGGGATGGGGACTGCAGCACCTCCCTGCTTCCTGGAATTCCCAAAATTCCCCAAAATTCACAGAATTCCCCCAAATTCTCAGAATGACCAGGTTGGGAGAGACCTTCAAAGTCATCGAGTCCAACCCAGCCCCAACACCCCAACTCAGCCCTGGCACCCAGTGCCACATCCAGGGATGGTGACTCTACCACTTCCCCAGTTTCTGGGAATTCCCAAAATTCTCCCAAATTCACAGATTTCCACCAAATTCTCAGAATCCCCAGGCTGGAAGAGACCTTAAAGACCATTGAGTCCAACACAGCCCCAGCACCTAAACTCAGCCCTGGCCCCCAGTGCCACATCCAGGCTTTGTCACACACACCCAGGGATGGGACTGCACCTCCCTGGGCAGCCATTCCACAACTTTATCCCCTTTCTGTAAAAAACTTTTTCCCAATATCCAACCTGTATTTCCCTTGGTGCAGACTTAGTTACAGAGCATCTTAAAACCTTTTTAGCCAGTAGCAGATTGCTAAAGCTTACAGACAGTTGTTTTAGCCAATTACTTAAAGTACACATACACCTGCTGCACACAATGTTTGCTTGTCTTCCTTCTAATACAATACACCATTATTAAACTTAAAACCTTTTACTATCTTCCTTCTAAAAATCTTCCCTTTACTCTTTCCCACACTTGCCATTAGAACTTAGTCATGTTACAGTAAATTGGGAATTCTTTGTATCTTGCATTATATGATGGAAGACTGCCCAGTGCTCTGATGAACTTAACACTGCTCTCGTTTGTTTTTCAGAGATATAATAAAGCGAATAGATCAGTCCGAATTTGAAGGATTTGAATATATTAATCCATTGTTGCTGTCAACAGAAGAAACAGTATGAAGGAATGACCTCGTTGGGGACAGTTGAATGACATTAATTTATCCTTAACTACAGTATATGCATGCGAGGCTGGGACTGGTCACTGGATGGAGACCAATGATCTAAAAACAAATTTGCTGCTGAAAATCAAAGAAGAGAATTATGATTTTGGTGGGTGTCCTCTGCCACTTAGTGATTCGTAAGTTCTGGGCACTGACACAACTGGCTTCATTAATGAAGGAATTTGCATTTTGTGCCTGTTTCATGAAGGATTGAAACGTTCATTGCATCCCTGCAAAAGGAGATCATGAGAAACTCTGAGATCCACACACTTTCTACAAACATTTGATGCAATGAGCTCCCAGTTGAAGAGTATTACAGTGTAACATCCTGAAGAATAAAATATATTACAGTGGTGTTGAAGCTTATTTTTGATGCCTTTTTTCACAAGTGGTACCTGTCTAAACATCTCAGATATATTTAAAAGGAGTTGTGTTTTATTAGCAATCAAAACATAAATTTGGGTACAAGATTTAAGTGCCTAAATGGATAAACTGCATTGAAGGATTATTGCATATTTGGGACGTTCTTACACCTGGTAAGTTCTGCTTGTTAATATTAAGTAAAATTCCATCTGAAACATACAGTTCACAGCTGCAGCCTGATGTTTAGTTGCATTTTTACAGAATTTGGAATGCAGAGTGACTCAGTGAGATTAATTCCAAATTAGAATTTACGGTATCAATTACAGAATCTGTTGTCTTAAGCTCCAAATTTACCAAAACGTAGAGATTGAAGAAAACTAAATTTGCACACAAAGGATTTCTAAACATACTTAAGCAGTGCCTACACCTACAATGATATTGTGTTGTATATTAGATTTTTGAAAAGTATTTTTATCAACAATACAAATATTCAGATGTAGAGCAAAAGCATAGTAAAGCATAGCCTTAAAGTAGTAAATCTAGAATAACCATAAGATAAAATCCACTTTCCTGATAAAGCACACCTCCTGCTTATGATAAACTGTCTGCTTACAGTTGCTCAGTGTGCATTAATAACTAATTAATCATTCTGCAGCAGAGAATGGGATCTTTCAGCGAAATGATTTGCATCAAAGCAGTACAATTCTTTTCATGGCAGAAAAACAAATACCTAAGAAATTGGAAGAAGCAAAAGAGAACTGTGCAATCCCTTCTGGTGGGAGCTGGGGGTGCCAGGGGAGGGCTCAGCTCTGCTGGGGGAGGAAAACAAAAACCCTGTGCTGGCCTCTCACCTGCTTGGGTGTAAAACACAGGAGAAATTGTGACACTTTCACTTTCTTTACATTAACCTATGGTTTTCTCAGGGTACAGCATTGCATTAGGTGCTGAACATGACATCTTTGGGATTCACATCCAAGTCATGAGGTGCTAGGACCAGACTGCCAAAACATTGTTTGAAATAGTCAATTAATCATTGATTAACAATCTAGGTTTTGTATCCCCTCCTTAGCCACACTTATGCAGACCTGTGGTTGTTTAGTTCTATGAATCCCATTCAGGTTTCAGTTGTGGGTTTCTCTGTTGGACTGTAGCTTTTCATATTCAGCAAAATGTGTTTTAATCAACACTAAATAATTTAACTAGTAAAAAGTACTTGCCTCAAATGCCTGGACTTTAGATACTTTATTATCTACTAAAGGCAACATTACCTTTTAAATGTAATCTGACATTTTTTTAATTGCTCCTTTTCCCCTTTTCCCTCTTGTTTTATTTCCCCCGAATAATTTCCTGTTCAGTGGTTTGAACTCCCCTGGTACTGAAGCTAATCAGGAGTGATCAGAGTGACTGCAGGCAGCTCATGAAAGGAACTGTGACAGGTCAAGCTGTCCTTTGACATGCCAGGGCATGGAACTTGAAACTGGAAATATTAGAAATGTGGGTTGGGGTTTTTTTTTAAACCTTTTTTTTCCAGGTTTCAGAACATTTTGGGAGGGAGGGAAGGAAGAATAGAAAGACACATTTTGCTAATCAAACATTGTAAAGAATATTTGATTTTTATTTAAGAATTTACAGGCATTTACAATGTTGCTGTGTTGCCAAATAGTTTGCTGGGTACAAGTTTGGTTGCTCATGTGCAAGTGTTTGAATAATGTTCTGTTCATGATGAAGGGGAAATTTTTTATATAAAGTACTTGTTTTATAAATAAAAGAAAATGAAGGATGTAATTAAATGTGTGGTTTGGAAAAAAAAATCCTAATATATTACAAATGGATCTGGTAATGATATATAGTTGTCTTATTTGAAATAGTAAATGAAAATTCTAGCTAATTTAATGATTGTAAAACAGTAAATATGTTCTTGTAGTTTTGTATAATTAATTAGTTGGGATCTTTGCTGACCAGTTTTAATTGTGCAGAAGATGGTATACTAATCCATAACAGCTGAGATCATTTATATTCTTGCACATCTATTAAAGACTTTAATGAAAAAGTTCACAGACTGTTATTATTTATCAGTGCAATGGGCTGTGTCCGACCTCTGAAAGAGATAAATAAAATAAAACCAAACCAAAACCAAACAGGCAGGTGGCACTTATCCTCGTGTTGAGTTCCTGGTTTGTCAGAGACAAGGATGTGCTTCCTGGCACATTTTTCCTGTTCCTTTGAGAGAGCTTCATCCTTGCCTGGGTGCTGTGCTGGAGTCACCACATGACATCATCTGCACTCTCAGACAGGCACCTGGCGAGGTGCCCATCGATGTCCAGCTGGGAGAGCCTGCAAACACAAACAGTCACAGCCCTCACATCCCCCTGCTGCCTGTGCCTCACTGCCTCCCAGTGTTGGTGCCTTGGTGGGCACTCAGTCCTGTGCCCAAATCCTCTGCCAGAACCCCCCAGCTCTGCTGTTACTGCTGCTCAAAGTGGAGCTGAGTAGCACAGGCCTGATGCATTTTAAGCTTTTCTAAGTCCCTTGACAAAAGGACCAAAATTGTCTAAATATTAATGCAGCCACTCCTTGTGTCCCTGTTCAACCTCCCAACAACAGGGAAACTGTCTCCCTGTTCAGGCCCCCAACAGAGCTTGCAGGGTCAGAGGGCCTGTGGAAAAGCACATTTTCAGCAACTTTCACAAGGTACTATGAAATTGTGTTAACATTTCTTACTGTAGAGCAGATACTCAACTTGTAAATGGGATTAAAGTGTGTAATTCTGACAGCTAAAAAAACTTACAGTAGGAGTTTTGTCTGCTTTTGTTATTGTGTACATAAAGGATGCATCCAGAACCTGCTGTGGTTCATTTATGGGCAAGTGATGAAAAAAAACCAAACCACAAACTTACCTTCCACTGAACTGCATCAGACACATGGGACAGCTGTCAAGAGCTGAAGATGCTTCACTCTGGTTTTCCATTTTCTCCTCGTGGCTCTCAGGAGCATTCCTGGGCTGAGGCTTCTCCGCAGGCACCCCTGTGCCCTCCCCTGCTGGAAGCTCCCCCTGGTGTGTTTGGATTTGAGGTTTTTCCTCACCCTGCTCTCTCCTGCCTGCCCTGCTGCTCTGTGCAGTCCCTGTGTGCTGCTGCTGAGGGCCCAGAGCTGAGGGCTGTGCTGAGCTGCTGTGCCCAGGGACTTCACACGGCTTGGGGCTCACAGCCAGCTCTGGAACACCTTCTGTGTCTGCTCCACATGCAGGTCTGGCTTCATCTCTACTGGTTCCCCTGCAGGTTTTCTCAGCTGTGGATGATAAACTCTTCAGTTTATCTGCTTGGCCCTGGCCTTTATGTAATTCATTGCTCTGGCTCTGTGCTGGCTGCTGGGAGCTCAGATCCGTGGGGTTCAGACATTTTTCTTGGTGAAAAGGTGGGAATGACACCCACTGAAAGTCCTTAGTTCCAACTGTAAAGACTTCCTGGTGTTCTGGACTCTTCTCCTGCTGTTTCTACAACACAAACACAGACAATATCTTAAGCACATGGAGCTCAATCAATACCTAAACCCAGGCTTTCAGAGCACATTGAAAATACTGAGAAAGCTGAACTACAGGAAAGAAAAGAACATTTTATTTATGTCCCTCCTCCAGGAGCTGATGGGATATGGGTCTTCCCTCAGCATTTCTAAATGAATGCAATGGGTACTCATGTTCCAGAGAGACTAAGGATGAAAACAGCAACCCGCTGCTGTTCAGGGGGAAAAAAGGACTTTATAAAGACTGGTTTTAATGCTGGGATCTTACCTAATGCCACAGGGTGGGTTCTGTGTAAATAACCCCTCCATTACAGCTTGCCTTTTCCAGTTTCATTCCTTAGGGAGATGCTGGTGTTTATGGCAATCAGCATCCTTACACAGGCTCCCTCTTCCCAGCAAAATGTTGGAAAGAATTTGCTGTACTGCAAAAAAAGCCTCTTGTAGCTGTCCTTACATTCCCTGCCACACCATGCCCAGCCACAGCACTGCACGCAGAGATTAAAGAGCTGAAACCCCACACCTCTAAAAGCTGTTTCATGTTGTTTCCCATTAAGCAGGCTGTCGCTATTGAAAGCAGGAACAAAGTACAAAAACAAGGATACAGCACGCTACCTTTTCCAGGAACTCTGGAAAGCTGGGCACTGTGTCCCAGTTTGTGCACTCTGAGTCTTGACTGATGTCTTTCAGTAGCAGCAGCCAGGTTTTTTCACACTCATTTAATTCTTCCTTTTCAAACCAGGAACATCTGTCAGTCGATGCCCTGTAAAGACACAGTCCAATAGTTTGAAGGTGGGAGAGAACAAAGAAAGTACTCTTAACACTGATACCAGTTTGCCTCTTTTCTCTGGAACACAAAGACATTATTGAGCCTGCAAACTATTTTTTGCTGCTTTATATGACTTATGTAATTTGGGCAGCTAGCAAAAAATTAATGTCTAAATGCTTTCCTTTCTGCTTGTAACAAATGAGCAGTAGGCATCTACCACTATCCTCACTTCCAAGCGAAGCAGTTAAGTGCAGCCACTGTTTTATCTTCTCAAATACCAAACTTAACACCTGCTGAGCACAGAAATCATGGAAGTGTTTGCACTGAGGGTGGAAATTGCATCACTTCCCATGTATGTCTGGACATTCCCACACTGCCATTTGAAATTACTGATTATCTTCCCAAACAACTTGATTTAATTGATCCTAGGAACTATAAGCACTAAAACGTAATGTTGTACAAAGACAATTCCAAGGGAAGGATGGATTGTTTTTGTCACAATGGTATTTCCAGCATTCCTTCTGATGTGTTTTCTTGGGTCGCTGTCCAAGAATGAAGCTGTATAGGAAAGAAATTGGAAACAACATAAAGAGCAGAGTGATCAACCTCTCCCAGCCCACGGTGGAAGGGACACGGCTGAGCCCCGGGCTGGAACACAAACCGAGCCACTCACTGCCTTCCGTCCTCCCGAACTCCGGGGCGGGGAAAACCAGAAAATATTTCTGCGCTCCTTTGAGCCGTATTCTGTAAGAAAGAGTTTTCATACATTAACTTTTCTCAGGCCCTGTTCTCGCCAGGGCTGTTCTGTGCCGAGGAACGTGCGGAAGGCGTGGGGCACGCTGCGCTCTATCCTGCAACTTTGTCCCTATTTTTAAAAGGCGCTAAGGGCGGTGTTTGATGAAATGACCTTTAACAGACACAGATCTGACCGCGAAACACCAGGGCGGTGCACCCCGGCCTCCGGAGCCGATCCGATCCCCCCGGAGCCGATCCGGTCCCTCAGGACCGATCCAATACCCCCG